ATTTCCAGCCCCATCCAGCCCCACGGGGGGAGCTGGACCCCGGATACTCAGGATGCTCCGAGCCACCTCTGCGGAAAGAAGGTCTGGGGGCAGGAATAGTAACAGCTTTTAATCCGACAAGAATCGATACATCATTTAAGACAATGCTGTTTTTGCCTCTTTTTTTTATGAGGGGGGGGGTGGGGTGGAGGGAGAACTTCCTTCACAGAGCGGTGGGGAAAGAGGGAACATTTTTGGGAAGTACAGGTTGGGGATTTTTTTTTGTTGTTTGTTTGTTTGTTTGTTTTTTTGTATTATTTTTTTTTTTTTTTCTCCATAGGGACTTTAAAGCATGGTGAATGTGCAAGTCAGTGCTTTGTTTGCTTAAAACTTTTTCCCGGTGCTTATTTACAGTTACAGTACCTCTGGGTGAGCGACAGGAAAAAAGACAATTGTTTGACCTGGGGATCCGGGATCCCGAGTCGAGAAAAGGCAGATCTCCGATATTTATATATTTGTACATATATATATATATATATATGCTTTTGTGTATACACAGATACATTTCTCTCTTCTTTTTTTTAAAGTATTAAAAAAATGATCAACCTTCATTCTATAAAAATACCTACTCTACAAGATAGAAAAATTTTCCCTCTCCAAGTTTACACTGATTTACACCCAAAAGCTTCTCTGGAAATGTACATTTACGTGGCTTCTTCCCGCGGACTCGGGGCAGGGAGGGGGGGGAAAAATGCCAGGGGGGGGGATAGGATGGGTTGTTCCCTCCCCCCCCCCCCCCCCCAAGGATTTTTGGGGTTCGCCCCCACCTCGCCCAAGGCCATGGAGGGGTTTGAGCACCCAGAGGTGGGAGAGGGAGGGTGATGGTGATGGAGGGGCTCGACCGGCTCTGGGTTTTGGCTGATTTCCCCCAGGGCCACCAGCTCAGGGGACCCGGGAGCCACCAGGGACCCCCCCAAAAAAGGGAGTAAGGCTGGGGCAGCTGCCACCTCTCCCTGCAGGGACACAGGGCTGCTCTGCCACCGAGGGAAGAGAGAGAGAGAGAGAGATGTGCCGCCGCGTGGAAGCCTTTTGGGGAGGAGCGGGGACGCAGTGGCCAAGGGATGGCCCTGACTTCTCTTTTCCAGGCCACCCCGGCACTTCTCAAACCTGCCAAGCAGGAAAAAAGAAACGGCTTTTTTGGGGGGGCCTGATGTACTAAAGGAAGCCGGATCCCCAGGAGCTGGAGAGGAAGGAAGGGGTTGGTGGAAGCGGCTGCTCCCCGGGGTCACGCTCACGCCACGGCGGCTGGGGCCAGCGAGCCAAAAGCTGTCTGATGTAAACATGGCTTTTGTTTCCCAGGGAGCTGCTGTCGGAGTCTCTGGTCTCCTCTCCCCCAAAAAGGGCAGGGAGATTTGAGCCCGGGGTGATGCCGAGGGGGCTCTGGAGAAAGGAGGGCAGCGGCTCCGGCCCCGGCCCCAGCGCAGGGAAAGGCAGGGGGAGCGGGCTCTCCCCTCCAGGACCGCGGCTGTCACCAGCAGAGCCCTGCTCCGGGTGGCAATGGCACAGTCCCCAAGCCTTGGGAGGACCTTGGGAGGCAAGGTGGCGAGCTCACCCCTTTCTTCTGGGGCTTCCCAGACCTCACCCTGACCACCCTCGGCCACCGGTGACAGGGAGAGGTGGTCAGGACCAGCCTCCAGTGCAAAGTTGAAGAGTCGCAGCCTTTCCCCGGTCCCTGCAGGCTGGACAGACAGACAGACAGACAGATAGACAGCACCCCTGCAGCCACAGCTGGGGACAGAGGGGACCTCTCCTCCCAGAGCCAGCCTGGCCCCATGGATGCCCACAGAGGAACCCCAGAGCCAGGAGAAGGGCAGCGGAGCCGGGAATGCCACGGCGTGCCGACGGTAGTGAGCCACAGAGCAAAAAGAAATAATAATAATAATAAAATAAATAAGGAGGCAGGTGACAAAGTGCGCTTAACGCCCTGTCCCCAAAAACACCAGCTGCTCCCCTGCCTCTTCCTGCCACCGGCCAGAGAGCGAGGAGCCAGCGCGCTCCGCACACAACCCCGGGCAGGGCAAGGAGGAACCGTGCCAGCTGAATGAGGACATTTGCATTAAGTTAATTAAAAAAAAAAAACAAAACTCAAAACAAAAAAACCCAAAAAAACAAAACCCAAACAACAACAAAAACCAAACCCACAAACCACCTCTGTGAGTCCGGGGACACGTCGTTTCCCTCTTTCCCAGGTCTGCCCCAGTGAGTGAGTGTGTCGGGGACACTTTGGCAAAGCAGATCCTTGGGCTGGACGGGGAAAACGTCGGCTCCGGCGCTTCCGTCCCCGTCCCGTTATCCCGCAGTTGGGAGAAACCCTCTCCCCACGCTCTGGAGGCTCTGAGCCCGCCCTCGGGACAGTCCCCGGCTTCACGCGTAGCGGGGCCGATGCAGGTCCTTCCTCCAGCCGTCCGTTGCCTGCGTTTCTTCTCCAGGTTCCCTTTCGCCCCTCAAAACCAGAAGGGGCTTCAAAATAATGGAGTCAGACACCAAAGCCTTGCTGCTGGTTTTCTTTTTTGTCCCTGGTCCGCTGGCTGATCCGCCCGCCGGTCCGAGGCGACGCTTTCCTTGTGCCTTCATCAAGAGCAAAGACGTTTCCAGTCCCCTTTCATCCTCTCAGAGCACCAAATCCACACCCGTGGACGAGCGCACAGCCGGCGGCTCTCGGCTCGCCCTTACTTCACTTCCAGGATGGAGGGATTGGTCTCCATGATGGCCACGATGATCCTGTCGATGTAGTCCTGCAGGCGGAAGTTGATCTCCTCTTGCTTCTGAATGGCTTCCATGAGCTGCGAGGGAGGGAGAAAGGCAGGGAGAGGTCACCCTTTGCTGCTGCTCAGGGACAAAATCACAGAATGGTCGGGCTTGGAAGGGACCTCTGGAGATCATCTCCTCCAACCCCCTGCCAGAGCAGGGTCACCCACAGCAGGTCCCACAGGAACATGTCCAGGTGGGGTTTGAATGTCTCCAGAGAAGGAGACTCCACCACCTCTCTGGGCAGCCTCTGCCAGGGCTCTGCCACCCTCACAGCAAAGAAGTTCCTCCTCATGTTTAGATGGAACTTCCTCTGTTCCAGTTTGTGCCCATTTCCTCTTGTCCTGTCCCTGGGCACCACTGAAAAAAGACTGGCCCCATCCTCCTGACACCCACCCTTTAAGGATTTATAGACATTGATCAGATCCCCCCTCAGCCTTCTCTTCTCCAGACTAAACAGACCCAAGTCCCTCAGCCTTTCCTCACCAGAGAGATGTTCTACTCCCCTCATCATCTTCATAGCCCTTTGCTGTCCCCTCTCCCTGTCCTTCTGGAACTGGGGAGCCCAGAACTGGACCCAGTGCTCCAGATGGGGCCTCCCCAGGGCAGAGCAGAGGGGCAGGATGACCTCCCTCCACCTGCTGCTCACACTCTTCCTGATGCCCCCCAGGATGCCCTTGGCCTTCTTGGCCACCAGGGCCCATTGCTGGCTCATGGGCATCCTGTTGTCCACCAGGACTCCCAGGTCTTTTTCCTCAGAGCTGCTCTCCAGCAGGTCAGCCCCAACCTGTCCTGCTGCAGGGGGTTATTCCTCCCCAGGGGCAGCACCTTGTCCTGTTTTTCTTGGCTCTGTGCACCCATGGAGGTTTCTCCCCTTCTTCACTCTGCCATGGGCTGTCCCCAGCCATGGACAAGTGTTTCCTCGCATCACTGCCAGGGACCAGATGACCAGCTGCTGGAGGAATAAGTACTGGGATCTCCGGGGCTCCCCTCAGCCTTCCTCCCTCCTCGAGCAGGCTCTGGCTGAAGATGAGGAGATGCCCTCAGCTGCTGGCCCTGCTGACTCCTTTCCTTCCTCAATTTCTCAGCCAGGAGAAAGCGGGGAGCATCGCATCTCCCTTTGATCCCCAAAACACGTGTGTTTTCCCCTGACGCTCTTCAGGGTCTGAAAGATCCGACTCTGACACCAGGGTGTGGGGAACAGCCGTGGGGAGCAGGGAGAGCACGTGCCAGAGAAGCCAAGATCTTTAAGATCTGTTTTAGGACAACTACAGAGAGACCCACCCAGTGCTTGCTGGCCTGTCCCAGGAAGGGGAAGGCACTGTGGAGCTGCCAGTATCAGCAAACTGGGAGGCAGCAGCTTCCCCTGCTCCCAGGAAGGAAGGGCTGGCAGGCAGGATAAGGCCCTGCAAGCTCTTCAAATAGTTGTGTGGCTATCTCTTCCCTCAGGACAGCTTTCAAGTGAGTTTTGGGAGCGAGCTGTACCACAGACGGGGCCACATCAGCTCCTCCCAGGCCCTCGGGTAGCTGAGAGGAGAGGAAACGTCCCCCCAACCCCAGGAAGATGGGTTTTGAGGGAAACACATACCTCATCTCTGGAGACCGAGCTGATCTCCGCTGCCAGGGATTCAGAGAAGGAGGCTGAGAAGAGGTTCTTGGCTCCCTGGATGCTCAAGTTAATGATCTGTCCGTTCAGCTCGTCGTTCTGCTCCTTCAGGTTCCTGTTGTCCTGTTCACAACAGACAAAGCAGAGGCTGCTGAAGCCCCTGGTGCCCTCAGAGCAGACCCAGTTGGGGAGGCAAGAGCTTTCGACCCAACCAGCAGCTCCCTCACCAGCCCCGGGTCTCCTGGCTCCATCTCAGCAGAGCCTGGAGAATCTCTGAAACATGGCATAGATGGAATATGCCAAGAAGATCCTGGGGACACCACAGAGGAGCTCTTGAGGGTACATGCCATCCTCCAAAGGAAGAAGCCAACCTCTCCTGGCCCAGGACAGGAGAGCAAGAAAGGGAGGAGGCTGCTGGATCAAGGGTCAGCTCCTCAGGAAGGTCCCCGCTGGCCACCCCTTGGCATCAGGGAATCACCATCCCCTTTTGCAGCCCGAGCAGCCACCCTCTTCCCTCCCTGCCCAGCCCCAGGTACCTGCTTGAGCTGCTTGATCTCTTGCTCCAGCTCGGTTTCCCGCGTCCTGCTGTTGTACTCCTGGAGCCCCACGCTGCTGCTCCGGCCTCTCCGCTGCTCCGCTTCCAGTTTGAAGAGCTGCAAGTGCTCCAGCTGTTTCCTGAGGTCCTCAATGAGCTGCAGGACAAGGGAAGGGGACAACTGAGTTGTGACAGACGGGGCAACCTCACGGATTGCAGGATTAACGGAGCCTTTCTGGGGGTGCACGTGTGGCTTCCCCTTCCTCCCCCGCCACGTCCACCAGAGAGGAGGAACTGGTTAAATCCACGAGAGCAGCCCTGGAAAGACTTTGATGGAGCACCAAAGATGCTGACTCTGGGTCTGGAGGAGCAGCCCAACCCCCCAGCAGTGAGGGGACTTCCTCAGGCAGGTCCCTCCTGCCACAACACTGTGAATCCCCATCTCACCTCTCAGCATCACCAAAATGACAAGAATTTCCACTTTGAGGCCCAAAGCTCCTTTCCTCCCCCAACAGCAAGTCCTGCCCGAGCCTCCAGCTGGAATGACCAACCCCAGACACCTGGAAGGGGCTTGGGGGGGTGTGTGTTTCTGCCCCCCAAGCTTTCACAGCCCTCTCCTCCTGCCAGCTGGCTCCACGTGTCATTGTCACCGTGTTTCTGTCACCGCTCCTTCGATGCAGAAGAGAAATGGGCCCCATGGGAAGGGGCCGGGGGGGACACAGTCCTGCTGGGTCTGCAGACACAGACACTCTCAGCTGAATTTTAAGGCAGGCAAAAGCCCTGGGTGTTACAGAGCTCCATCTCTGCCCAGGCAGGACTAAAATGCTCCAGTTATATCTATTTTTGAAGAGGGTGCCGAGGCCAGCCTCCCCCCAGAGCCCTAATTTGGGGGACGGGCAGGACAGGGAGGCAGCTCTGCTTACCTCCTGCGTCGACTCCTTCTCCTTCTGAAACTGGTGCCTCTCCTGACTCAGCTTGTCCCCCATCTTCCTCTTTTTCTCCTGCTCCTCCGTCAGCTGCACCGTGAGGTCCTCGATCTCATCCAGCAGCTTCTGCTTCTCCTGTAAGGACACGAAAGGCTGCCAGGGCTCTTCCCCACCGGCTCAAGGGCATGGCACACGCTGGGCACGGCGGGGAAGGCTCCTCTCGCTGACGCAGGAGGATGCTCTGCCTGCTGGGATCACGTTTGCTGTCTCAGGGCTTCAGAGCCTCAAGTTTTGGCAGCAGCAAGGGCCGTGCACCAAAATAGCCCCGTTAAAGAGAGAGGGAACGAGAGACGACTCAAGAATAAACGCACAGGGGGAAACAGCGGCGCTTGGGAAGGTTTTGTTTTGAGGAAGAACTTGTTTGGTGTGAGGGTGGTGAGAGCCTGGCCCAGGTTGCCCAGAGAAGCTGTGGCTGCCCCATCCCTGGAGGGGTTCAAGGGCAGGTTGGAGGGGGCTTGGAGCAACGTGGTGTGGTGGGAGGTGTCCCTGCCCAGGGCAGGGGGGTTGGAACTCGATGATCTTTGAGGTCCCTTCCAACCCAAACCATTCTGTGATTCTATGATAACTCCTGGTGCTCCCTTCACTTGAGCACAGCAAAGACACACTGCTGGGCTCACACTGGCAAAGGCAGTCACCCAGGGACCTGGAGCTGCAAAATATGATGGTAAAGGGGAAAAAAGTCTTCCTCCAGCTCCTGTGGAGAGCTGGGCAGTGGGTCGGCCTGCTTGGAAGTCATTGCTGATGGGAGGAGAGGTAAAGGGCAGAGCTGGGAAGAGCTGAAAGCCAAGGAGCTGGTAGAGTTAAAGAGGTGAAAAGATCTCCCCATCCCTGGAGGGGTTCAAGGGCAGGTTGGAGGGGGCTTGGAGCAACGTGGTGTGGTGGGAGGTGTCCCTGCCCAGGGCAGGGGGTGGCACTGGGGGGGCTTTAAGGTCCCTTCCAACCCAAACCATCCTGTGATTCTGTGATGATTCTGGGCAGCGCGGTGCTGGCGTGGGACACGGCTGGGGCAGGACTGGGGCCAGCACAGAGTCTACTGGCCAAGGACAGACATTAAACCATAAGGCTCTTTCAGTCTGAATTCCCGAAAAGCCAGGAATCCAAGGTCTTACATCACTCTGGGGATGCTCATTCTGTTTCAGATACAAAAGAATTTAATCACGGCTTGGCACAAGAAGGACCGTGACCAGTTCAAGCCAGGATGTAAAACACACAGCCCAGTTCTCCCCATCTGTCCCCTTCCTATAGCCAAAGCCCTGGCTCAACATTTGAGACAGAGGGTGAAGCTTGTCCCTGGCTGGTGACAACAGCCCTGCACAGGACACTTCCCTGTACAGCAGCATCCTGCTGCCTGCCACCAGTTCAACTCCTGCCCAAGCTCCCAGCTCCCAGCCTGGCTCTCCCCAGGAGGAAGGGTTTGGCTTCCAGAAAGACAAAAATTACCCCCAAGCAAAGCCTGGTCTGGACGGTCCATGCCACCAAGAGGAGAGGAGCAGCTCCAGCTGCTGGGTGTGGGGTGCCCTGCTCCGTGGAGCACAGCACCAAAAGCACTGCACCAGTAAAAAAAAATGCAATGCTGACCATGAAATCCTGATTTCAGACAACGTACAGGACAGGAGGTCACGCAGGGAGGGGCAGGAATTGCACCTCTCGCTCCTCGTTAATCCCATTAACCGTGGAGAAAAGCAGCACTGCTCCACAGAGAGACTGAGGACCGAAACCAACCTCCCGGGGCTGAAACACACCCAGGCAGGAAGTTTATCCTCGGATCCACAGTGGTTTTCCCACCCCCAGCATCAACGCACTGAGTTTGCAAGGTCTTGGCAGATGAGGACCATGTCATGGTGGCCACGTCAAGTAGAGATGTACAGAGACTGCAAGGGGATGAAACACTTGAGGGCCTTCAGCTGGGCAGAGAGATTTGATTCCACTGAAATTTTAATCCTACATCTGCCACGAGCTTGAACAGAAACAAAATACAGCCTCTGTACCAGATGTTACGTCTGTAACACACATTCTTTCCAAAAAATGAGGATCTTGTCCAGCCCATGGAGACTGTGGTGCCTCGGGAAGCTTCTCACCCCAGCCCTAAGCAGCTTCGGATCCTGAGCAGGGAGAGGGAGGGGAGGATCTGGGAGATAACGCAGTGCTTTGAAGACTCAACACGCAAATCCCAGCAAGGATGAATCCGCCGCAGGGATGAAGCATGCCTGCTCCTCTTCCTCCCTTCCAGAGGAATGTCCCACTGCCACAGGAATGGGGACAAGCTTCCACAAGAGGGCACGAGTCCCCTCCTAACCAGGCAGGACAGGGCTGTCACTGCTGCGCCCCGTGGCTCTGCTTCCCGTGGGCTGCACCGGCACCCAGAGATTTACTGGGGGGTTTGTTAATCCCAGTTTCCAAGGCAAACACTGGGAATCTGCATGGCACGGGTTAGCTCTGGTCCGCGGGGAGCTCTGGAGGGACTGGAAGGCAGAAGAAGCTGATTTGCTCGTTACATTAAACAGATCTCACGTCAGCCCTTCGTGGAAACGCGAATTTCGGCTCCAGCCACGGGAGAGCCCAGAAACGCCCCGAGCACCCGCGGCCCTCACCTCCTCCAGCCTCTCAATGTTGGCTTTTAAACAAGGGACACAGGATCTCAGCTCGCTGTTCTCATCATCCAGCTGCTGCAGCCTGCAAGGGCAGAGAGAGGCATAAGAGACTCAGCCCAACACCCAAAGTGAGGAGGCTCGGTTAAAAAGAAAGACCACTATTTAACCAGGACCTGCTGAAGGCAAGGCAGCAGTGATTTATTTTATTTTTTCAAAGCAAAACTTAAAGCTTCCACTAGTTCTACTCCCAGGTGGAAAAAAGGGGCATCCATATGACTTCTGGAGAGTCCAATCTCCAGTGTCAACCCTCCTCAACCAGTCCAAGGCCACTCCTCAGGCCAAGGGCTTCATCAGTCCATGGACAAGCCTCAGCACTGGGCACCAAAGAGCAAAGACATCACCTGGGCAGAGGCAGAGGGTTCAGAGAGGGTCTCAGCTTTGCATTCCCCAGGTAAAGTGACATCCATTTGTCACAGTAACTGTCCTGCTACAAGCCTGGTAAAAACCCCTACTGCCTTCATCTGTCATTTGCTGCAAGGGCTGAACGAGAGGAAAATACATTCTGGAGAAGCAGCAAGAAATACCCCATCAAACATCCCCTGGCAAATAAATGAAACCTCTCCCACCCCCCTTTCTCCTGTACTTTCTCCTGGACGCTGCCTGTCCAACAGCTCTTCCTTCCCAGATATTTCCATGAAGGTGGAAAACATCTGAGCACGAAACATACTTCCACGGGTCATTCCTAGGAACAAACCACCTCTTCACTCACAAACTGAGCTAAATTTAAACTGCATCAGGGAAATTCAAATGGTCTGAGAGCAGGTACACGGAGGGGCTTGATTTAGTAACAAAGGTAGGAGAAGTAGCCAAAACTCAGGGTTTATCATGACTTTAGTTATATTTTTAAGCAAGTTAAACTCACTGTCTGCCACACTTTGTGTCCCCAAAGGCTGCGGTTGCAAAGCAACACGACTTCCAGAAGGTACATGTGGGTTCAGGAGCCCCCAACCCAGCCCTGCCCCAGCCCCACCTGGCCTGCAGGTTCTCAATCTCGATGCTCTTCTCCCTCTCCATTTTGCTCAGCAGTTCCCTCTGCTTCTTGATCTCCTCCAGGAGGGTCTGGTCGGCCCTCAGCTCCTGCTCCTTCAGCTGTTCCTCGAGAGCGTTGGCTCTGTGGAGGGAGAGAGAGAGGATTAGCAGCTCCTCGTGGCTCACCCCTGGCGCGCTGCCATCCCCAGGGAGGGAATCAAACCCTCTTCCCAGCCTTTCTCCCACCCCACGGAATAACTGGGAGAAGGAAATTAGGAAATAGAGCAAGCTGTGTTGCTCCCATGGCTGTCTCAAGCGGCAGGAGTCCAAAGGCTTCACCTGGTCCCAGCAGATGCAGTGGGAACACACCACGGCCCGTGGAATCCCAAAGGACACTACTGCTGCCCAACATGGCACTCAAATAAAACAACCCAGCTGGAACTCACTGGGATCACCTCTGTTGAGTTTGTTTTGAGTCTCCAGGCTGCACCAAACTCCTTTGAAGAGGGAGGCCAGCAAGGGGGTGAGGTGAGTAAGCACAGTAATGATTTAAGAAGCCACAGCCCATGGGTCATGGGCACAGCATCACCCCCAACGAGCACCTCAGTGAGAACCTCAGCCCATCCTCCTCCTTTTCACTCTCCCGGTTTTCTGACTAAAAAGGTGGGATTCTGCAGGTCAGCTTTCTCCATGTGCTGGCCTAACAGCAATTCCCACGTGGTCCTGAGACCAAAAGTGGCCACGTTTGGCCCTCTGGAGCAGGCAGAGGTAGCCCAAGCCCCCATGCCCAGTCAACCCCCCCGAGCCCAGCAGCGGTGGGTTTTCTGACTAAAAAGGTGGGATTCTGCAGGTCAGCTTTCTCCATGTGCTGGCCTAACAGCAATTCCCACGTGGTCCTGAGACCAAAAGTGGCCACGTTTGGCTCTCTGGAGCAGGCAGAGGTAGCCCAAGCCCCCGTGCCCGGTCAACCCCCTGAGCCCAGCAGCAGTGAGAGAGCTGAGGTTCCTTAGGAGGCTGGAGATCACACAACTGCTTTGCACGGGCAGGTGGGGAAGGCTTTTTGCCAAATTTACCCATTCTTCAACTGGCAACGAGTACACTTGGGGCTTTACTTGATTCAAAGCCGACTGACACTTCTGGGCCAAGCTGCTCAAGTGAAAACACTTCCCCGGCCGCAAAGTTTATCGGGGCTTAGAGGAGCCTTTGTTGGTTCCCTGACACGATTGTTACTTAACAGACTTACAGCCCTATAGATAAACTCCTGCCGGGTTTATCTGCCGAGGGTAAATACGCTGCTGGAAGGGAGAAACCTGCCCGATTAGTAAAGACGGCGATTAAATCAAATGGGATGTGAAAGGCTGCGCCCCAGCCAGGATCCCAAAGTAGCAGGATGTGGGGAGGGCAGAGATGGGCAGTAAGGACCCTGCTGTGCCTCCCACCCAGGTTTAAGGGGTGAAATAAGGGACCAGAAAGAGTCCACAGAGGGTGAGTGTGTTCTCCTCCTTGATTGGGAAGCATTCCAAGGTGCATGAGACCTCCCTGTGGTCCTCTCAACCGACCCCTGGAGCTCCAGAGCTCCACAGAGACCTTTCAGGGTGGACATCCAGAGGATGGGCGATGCATAAAAAACCCCAAGATATTAAAAAAAGACTTAAGAAGCACTGTTATAGTGAGCAGAACATTGCAAAGGAGAGAGCTGCTGGCAGGTTGGCCACTTGTCCCACCTGAGCTGCAAACAGTTTCCTGGGAATTTGCTGGAGACCCGGAAAAGCCCGTGTGCAGGATGCTGTGATCCCCCACACAGACACCCCTCGTTGCAGCCTGAACCCCGGCTGGATTTAACCACGGCCAGGGAGGGATCGGATCATTGAGGGCAGAGCTGGGAAGCTTTCCTGCTATTTTCTGTCCATGTTTCTCCTCTCCTGCTGCCTCCTTTCCCCAAGGGAGTGAGGAAAGGCACCATGGGTGATGCCAAGCTGTATTTTTGGCCCTGGCACAAGCTGGGCTCCCTTACCTGTGCACGAGCTGCAGGTTTTCCTGCTTGAGGCGGCTGTGCTGCTCACCATTAGCAGCCGTGTCCTTCTCCAGCTCCGTCACCCGCTTCTCCAGAAAGACCACCTGCGTGAGGGGAGAGGGGAGGATCAGCCTCCTGTGCTCAAACCTGATGGCAGAGGAGCACCAAGTGATGGAGCAACTGGGCACTGGAGCTCACTCCTGGGCCACCTACTTCAAAATGGATGACTGCCACCGGAATCGGGTAGCCATGGCTTGATTTAAAGCATCCTGTGCACCAAGATGGGGTCAAACACTTCACTTTCTTCATACCCTTCTGATAAAATGCTACGTGGAGGTCTAGAGGGATCCCAGCTAGACCAGCAGGGCTCTGGCACATCCCAGTGCAGCCCTGAGGTTGGGGACAACCTCAAACCAGGACTGAAAGACCCTGGGTTCACAGCTACACAAAAATAAAGTCATGTAGGAGGAAAGAATTTTGGCTGGTGTGGTAGGATCAGAGGTGAGAATTTGCTCCTGGACCTATATTGGGCCTATTTCAGCTGTATTCACATTTTCATAAAATCATGGAATGGTTTGGGTTGGAAGGGACTTAAGGACCATCCAGTGCCACCCCCTGCCCTGGGCAGGGACACCTCCCACCACACCACGTTGCTCCAAGCCCCCTCCAACCTGCCCTTGAACCCCTCCAGGGATGGGGCAGCCACAGCTTCTCGGGCCAACCTGGGCCAGGCTCTCACCACCCTCACACCAAACAAGTTCTTCCCCACAGCTCAGCTCCATCTCCCCTCTTGCAGGGTCCAACCCTTCCCCCTCCTCCTAGGGCTCCCCTCCCTCATCCAGAGTCCCTCCCCATCTCTCCTGTTTTCATTCATTTTCCCTAAATGGTGCACAACTTCCCTCATCCACAGTCCCTCCCCATCTCTCCTGTTTTCATTTATTTTCCCTAAATAGTGCACAACTTTGAAGAGCACCCCTCTACTTCCCCCCCCAAAGCAGGAGTGTGGGTGTGTGGGGAACCTCAGCAGGACAGAGTTTGTGGTCCCCAAAATCCCATTTATACCCATAAAGAAGAATCACGAACAAGAGGCAATTAGGAGCCTGTCTGCAAAACCCAAAACCTCACTCTGGGGAGAAGTGACATGTAAATGGATTAAAAAAGAAAGACACAGAGACACTTGATGATCTGAAAGGTCCCTTACAACCCAGACAATTCTATAATTCTGTGACACGATGCTCTTCTCAGAAGCGCATACACAGTTTCCCAAGCCAGATGCCTTCAGGAACATGAGGGTTTCATTCAGCTTGTAGACTTGGAAAACACAAACTTGAATATAAGAAGCTCCACCTAAACATGAGGAGGAACTTCTTTCCTGTGAGGGTGGCAGAGCCCTGGAAGAGGCTGCCCAGGGAGGTGGTGGAGTCTCCTTCTCTGGAGACATTCAAACCCCACCTGGACACGTTCCTGTGGGATCTGCTCTGGGTGACCCTGCTCTGGCAGGGGGTTGGACTGGATGATCTCCAGAGGTCCCTTCCAGCCCCATAGCATTCTGTGATTCTGTTTTTTTAAAAATTTTTTAAAGCTCTTCTATGCCTTATAATTATACCCAAGTGCAGCCACACACCTGTGTGTTTCTCTTTCACGTGCTGCTCCGTGCAGCTGTTTGTGATTGCAGAATTAAAAAGCCATTTTCAAGGAGTTTCAGGACTACACAAGCCACAGCTCACCTTTCCAGCCACACTTTTATCTGTCCTGCTTTCCCTCAGCTATTTTTACCGGGGCTGGGGGGGTGTCAAACAAAAGCTTTCTTGTGCTCCTCTTATCTCTTTTCTTGCCCTACCATCCTTCTCTCCTGACACCCCAAGTAAAACCCAAAAGCACAAAATCAGCTCTGTATCCTGACGGCACGAGCAGGGACAGCAAGAGCGTGCCAAGGGAAGGAAGTCCTCCTCTCACATCAGGCCATTTCGCTCACTTTGGAAAAGCAGAAATTGAGAAGGGCTCATTACATGAAGCAGAAGTGAAAATACAGCCTTGCAAAGAGCTGCCCCCTCCTCCCGGGGAGCTGGAGGCTGGAGGGAAGTCACCCTGGCTGCAGGCAGGGCAGGACACCTCCATCCCTGGGAGAAGACACCAGTGCCACCTCCTGACTCAACACAGGACCTCTGCAATTCGGGTCGGAGCGCTCTTCGTTCTCCATCCCCTCACTTGGAGGGCTTCCTATGTCCCACCAGCACGGATCTACCTGGTGGCAGTGAAAGACGCTCCTGCCCAGGGATGTCAGAGAGTTGAGAGCCACTGTAAGCTCCAGAATGATGTAGAAGGCACTGCTCTTACCTTGTCCGTGATGTCCTCTTCTGTACACTCCAGCGTGTCCCGGTAAGAGTCCTCCATCACCCCCACGGCCAGCGCGCTGGTCTGATGCAACTGTCTATAACGGAGATAAACCACCCCAACCCACAGCAACACCAGCATTAGAGCAAACATGGCAGGACATGGCAACTGCAGATGACAACAGTAGATGACAATCATTACTGCAGGTACACGGTCCCTCCTCTCCCCTCCTCAGCTCCTTCTCCAAAGGGGATTTAATAGCTCTGCTCCTTCCTGGGCTGCACAATCTACAGCAAAGGATGGAGTGGGCCAGGTCCCTGGCAGAGCAGTGGTCCTTCAACCACCCAAGTTCTCCCAAAAGCCGACTGCCTCGGCGTGCCCAGATGACTGGGCTAGGGGGTGGCTGCTTACCAGCTGGACCCTGCGAGGGCAGCGAGGACGTGGACACACGTCGCTGGGACTTCATACTATGATCGTTTGTTCTTGCTCTTTGGCATGGGAAGAGATAAGAGCTCGCTCTTTTCACTTTCTTTCCTTCGGAACCTACCCAAGCCACGTGTCACCCAGCACGGGACAGAGTTCTCTGCTCTGACCGCTGATAAGGTTAATAAAAAGTGGGAGGCAACGGGTGTTAAAGGGAGGGACGGGGGGGGGAGAAAAAAAAACCCTGATTGTGTTGTGAAACACCCCAGCCCACCTCCCCGCACCGGCCACAACAGCCCAGAGCGAGCTAATCATTAGCTTGTGACATTGGTGCCCACAGCCATCTAAAGGACACCCACCCCTTGGAGGGGTCTGGTGTGGGCTCCTGGTTTCGCTGCAGATCAGCTCCATCGCCCCATGGCACCAGAAGCCACTGGTTGCAGTTGAGAACATCTTGTATTCCAGCTCTGTGAACCCCAGGCAGATGCCACCTGCAGAAAACCACTCTGTTCTCCTATGGCAAGCAGCTCCATCTGCCTTTAAAGCGCTGCTTCGAGCAGGAGGTGAACGAGAAGACCCCAGAGGTCTCTTTGAACCTCAGATTTTCCCTAGGAATTTGTAATGTGGGGCTTCTCAAATTCACCCTGCTACACAATATGCTCATGTGAATATTCACGAAGCGTAACTGGCATTTACCGAGGAGACCGGGGCTGAGAACCAGCCTTATTTTGCATCCTCATCCCGAGTATATATTTAGATTCTAAAATCTCAGGCACAGTTGTCATTTAAATCATGCCAAGCACAACAGGGCCTAAGCAGCTGAGATTTCTTGGCACAAGCAGAACCTGGATAACAAAAATCAGGCAAGAGCCCTTACCAAAATAAAATCAATTTCCTAAAAGCAAACGCTTTGGTATTATTCGGTAATTACAGTATCTGCAGCAAAGGGCTGATCCTAAGGATCTGGCTCTACTCTGGCAGCAAAACCCTGTTATCTCCTTGTTATCACAAACTAAACTCCACTGCTCTTGAATTAATCAATATTTACCTGAGTCCACAAGTCCCAGTCTCAGAAAAGCATCTCGCAAACGCAAAGAGCCAGGAAAGCTCAACCCTCCCTGAGACAGAGCACCTCCATTCCCAAAAGTTTAACTCAAATCCCAAAAGTTTAACTCAATCCAGAGACGGGATACAAATCAGAGCTCAAACAGGAAACCTGGGGACAGGCTGCTCCCTTCAACCTTCTTTCCTGCCAGTGTTTTTAACAAAGATCTAGAAAGTAAGATGACCGGAATTAGGAAATGTAATATCGAGGACCTGCTTCCTTGCCAGGAGGGGAAATCGTGCCAGGGGAGACTTGCTGACCACGGGGAAAATGCAGAAGGGAAAGGTGGGAGAGCCCTGCCGGGGGCAGCCCACGGACACACAGGGGTAGGAGCCCCAGCATCACCCAGATGAAGGTGCCCATTGCTCTGCAGCACCCCTGTTCCGCTAGGAAACGGGCAAGGAGAAAGCCAAGGAGGCCATCTCTCTCCCAAGGACATCTAAGGTCAGCCTCAGTATATTCATAAAAGCAGGATGAGATGGGAACAGGCAGGATGGAGAAGCTAGGAAAAGAAAGGTGAGCACCATCAAGAGGGGATGGACCCTCTGCCCCAGCCATTCAGAGCAAAATCCAGCTTTTCCCATGCAGGAAAGGGACAAAAATGCCCATAAGGAAAGGGTGACCGGCATCGTATGAGAGGGTCCCAAAGGAGAGAAGCTCCAGAGTGTTTAAACCCAGGGTGGGATTTCCTAAAACTCCCCAAAACCTCACGGAGGGCAGCTCCTGCAGAGTCAAGCGCTGAGGATCACACCGAGCAACGGGGAACAGAGAGCTGTTTAAGGTGGCTGGCTGTTTTGGGGTGCTGGAGAAACCCCTCTGGGTGGGTGTACAGACCTCTAGAGACCCACGGCGGTGACACCGGGAAGCAGAGAGCCATATCCAGAGGGGACATGCCCTTCCAGAGACTCCTTCCCCACTCCACGTGCCCCCCACCAGGGCACCGGCAGGACGGAGCAGGGGGAAAGCACCCCAGTTTCTACCCTGGAAAAAAACCCAGGTTGACACCAGCCTCCAGCTGTGTGCACGAGTGAAAAAACCCCGATTTAGGAAAAAACCAGCTATCGCAAACTACATTGGAATCAACCCCACTTCTGCCCAGCGCTGTGTAACACCTCCAGAAGTATGAAACTGCAAACTTCTTTCGACAGCTTTCCCTCCCCAGGCCCGGCAGGGAGGGTGAGCTTACCTTGCCACCTTCTTGCTTGAGAGTCTTTTATTGGGACTGCAAAAGGAAGGAAAAAAAACAAAAAAAAAACAAAAGAGGAAAGAGTTAGGAAAGCTGACGGCGGAGAGCGAGGGGAACAGGAAAGCGCGAGCGCTCGGGGGCACATCCTTTTGCTATGGCAGGGGAGCAGCCGCCGCATGCACCACCCCGGCCACCCCCGGGGAAGGGGCAGGGGAGGAAACGTTATTTAACAACGGGGAGATAACGAACCCAACGGGAGAACAGGGCAGAAAAACCTCGCCGCCTCCGGCAACGGCGTCCTCACGCCGCCTGCTCCCCGTCCTGAAAGCTGATCCCTAAGGAAAGGGCTAATTATAGCTGGGAGCTCGGTGGGGTTCAGCACGGAGCTCGGTGGGGTTCAGCAGGGAGCCTGGTGGGGTTCAGCCCCAGCTCCCGTGCCCCACAGCACCCTCCTGCCACCCCCCAGAGCTCCCTGCCCGGCCGTCGGGGGACGGGGACCACCTCCTGCCTGCAAGTGGGCACCTCCATCCTTCTGGCCTGCCCTCCTCCCAGAGATTATCCGCGCTGTTCGGCTCCGGATCACCAGAGAACTGCTGCCAACTTGTAGCTCAGAGCTTTTAGGAGCCTTTTAGGAGGTGTCCCTTTCTGGATTTGAAGCACAGGCGCTGCTGGAATGCTGGGGAGGTGGACAAGCTTCTCCTTTGCACCCATAAATGATGGAGATCACGCACCCTGGCTCTGTATTTGCCCGGGGCCAGCTGCCACCATACCCTCAGCGTGACCCAGGGTACAAGAAGCCAAGCTCTGCATCACCTCATCCCTCAGGGCCAGGGCTGCAGGTTCTCCCCGTAGAGCCAAAAGGTGGACAAGCTTCTCCTTTGCACCCATAAATGATGGAGATCACGCACCCCAGCTCTGTATTTGCCCAGGGCCAGCTGCCACCATACCACAGCGGTCAGGGTTTAGCTGAGGCTCAGCGTGACCCAGGGTACAAGAAGCCAAGCTCTGCATCACCTCATCCCTCAGGGCCAGGGCTGCAGGTTCTCCCCGTAGAGCCAAAAAAAAAAAAAGCTCTTTTTTTTTTTATTTCCTGAAATAGCTCCTTGCTAAGATGCTCCTTCCAGTCCCGGGGCGGCGAGGGATGCAGCTGCGTGTGAGCCAAGGAAGCTGGGGGGCTGGGGTCTCATCTTCCACCCAAACTCGGGTCTCTTCTTCCACCCAAACACAGGCTGTTGTCAAACAGAGCAGTGGGACACACCACGGACACCAACTCCCCGCACGACGACAGCGAACACGGCTCTGGCCCCAGCAGAGAAGCAGCAATCACATTCCCCCGTGCTTAGCTCAGTGTAAAGAATTGAAAAAATTTACAAAAAAATAATAAATAAAATCATCTGGGAGATCGTTCCTCGCCCAGAGCTGCAACAATTATATTAGTTCGTAGAAGGAGGAATTAAAAATAGCTCAGGAATATTTTCTTTTTTCAAAAAAAACAACAAAAACCCAACCCCGTGGTGGAGCAGGGGCTGTGTCGGGGTCACCAGCCCTCGTGTCCATAGTGCATCCTCACACCCCACATCTCCGAGGAGCACAAGAGCTGCTGCTGGACACGCTTCAAGGACGCTGGGCACTCGCCCGAGGTCAGGCCCCGGTGTTGTACGGAGTCACCTCTGTCCCCAGCACTCCACGGAGAAACAATATTTTATTTTTTGTTTTTCCTCTGCAAAACAGCTTGTGGAAAGCAGTGCTGGGCTGTGGGGAGGGGATGAGACGCACCACCTCCGCTTCAAGGGCACTAAAACAAAACCTACTTTTACTAAACTGGTTCATCGCAAGCTCCTGGTGGATTTTTTTTCTCCCCCTCCGGAGTAGTGCCTGGACCAGGCTCCCCACCTTCTCCCAAGTGTAAAATGCTGCGTAAAAACCCACGGCCTGAAAGAGGGAGGGTGTCACAGGGTGGTGTGGGCTTCAGCCCAGCCTCCAGAGAAGGTGTCTTCAGGCTTTGTGTCCCGGGCACGCTGCTTGGCACAGAGTTTGGTCCAGTTTCTGCTCCTCTCTCCACCTGCAGTCTAGGACTTGTCCCCTGGTGTTGCTGGTGATGCTTGGGGCAACCAACAGGTCCTGCCTGCTGCAGGGGACACCTCGTACGTCCTCACCACAGAAAGGGTGGGCAATGTCTCTTCCATTGGGTTGGTGAGCCAGGGACACTTGGAACACACTTCCAGCATGGGAAACCCTGAAGGCAGCTGGAGGAACCATATCTACCTGTCCATGTGTCAAACCAAAACCTACGGAATTCCCACCACAACACCTCCAGGATGGGGAAGCCTAAGCTGGAAACCCAACCAGCACAGGTGGCTCCAAGGTGGTAGCTCAGTTTTGCAGGTGAATTCGGTGGAGAAAGCCTCAAATGGAGCGGGGCTGCTGGTGCATCCAGGGAAGTCCAGTGTTCTCCTTAATAACCACATAACCTGAGACTCATCGCTGACCCTCAAGGCCTCCAACAGCAAAGGTAACTATTTACCCGAGAAAGAGAAAGGGGGAGGAGTATTTTTTCCATTAAAAAAAAATAATTAAGGCCAAGCTCCTATTTGTTTCCCAGTTTTTTTCCCCGTGGCTATATAACCCAGGAGAGCTCCCATGTCACACTGTCCCCGTAGAGGACATAGAGAGACCAAGAGCGTGACCAGAAACCAGGCATGAAAAAGCACACCAGAGGTGAGAAGCATGATTATCGTTAATGCCCCCGCCCTTCCACTCAGCGGAATGCAAACAGCTCTGAAAAAATAAATGAACACATAGAAATCCCTCCCCCCGACTTGTCAAAGCAGCAAGTCCAGCTGCTGGTTGGTAGATCTCAAACGCTACATTCCAAAGCTCCTGATGCTCCTACGCAAAGGCCCCGGCGTCTATCAGGTCTACCCGGCTAGTGGTGGCCCATGGGTAGATGGGGCCACCCAACAAGATTTTACTGCTGCAAAGTGAGAGCGTCTAGAGGAGAGGTCCCAAGCCCCAGAGAGAGCAAGCTGGTGGCTCCAGGTCACTGCTGCAGCGGGAGGACGGGCCGTAGCTGCCCTTCCAGGTGGAACCAACAATTCCTCCACCGGCCAGAAGACCTGGCAGTCTGTTCCTTGGTGACAGAAATACTGTACACGATCAGCTTTGAGTCCCGATGCGAGGACTGCACTACTCGGAGGGTGGAGAAGCACCCACCGCTCAGCAGGACATGCAAAGAGGCCACCCGGAGCAGAAGGGAAGACTCTCGTTGTCCGCCAGCCCCCGTGGCTCAGACTAAAGGAAACCTCTGCTCACCCTCCGTGACGTTCTTCCAGCCTTTTACCACCTGGAGAGGTTCACTTTGGTGAAACTCATCCCCCTTTCGCAACCAGGACAAAGGAAAAAACCTGGGCAAGACAAGGAGAGCCTTTCCTTCCAGAACATCACTCCACACACAAGCCCAATTACCTATTCATTTCAAGATCATTCAGGCGAGCAGAAAGATCCTCGAGGCGGTTGATTTGTTTGTGGCACTGGCTACAGTAAAACTCAAAAGCTTCATCTGCGATAATGCTGTGCAGTTTCGCAGCGAGCGGATTGGTGCTAGAGAGATCACAAGGGTCATTTCAACAGGACAGAACAGAACAGAACGGGGCTGATTGTCACCCGTGGCTTCCACAAGCTGAACAGATGGTGGGGCAGGGGTCTGAGATGCAAGACTGGCCATTAAAACCTTCAGAGTGGATTGGGTCATCTCCTCCCTCTGCCCCCACCTTGATTTTAGAAGCCAAATCACCAGTCATTCTGGAGTTGCTATGAATTAGCAGAACTTCCACCACCCTCAGCTTGGAGACTTTGAGCTTGGCCACGTTTCCAAAGCTCATGCTCTTGTGGAGGATCCCTCCCCACCAAGAGCCCAGGGAAGGCGAGGTGCACGCTTCCAACAAACCCACACGACTATGAAGGTTATTTTCGGACATGATTTTCCAAGCAAACTGTCTCGAGAGGCTCTGGCAGTGGTCCTGGTTCATCTCGGTTATCGCAGACCACAGGGCTGGATCGGGCACCAGGAGTGAGACCCAAATCCTTTGGTGGGTCACGCCGTTTTCCAACGGGATGGTCTAAAAACCGAGCATTTGTGCCGCTGCAAACCCACTGCTGGTAACGCAGAGAGTTGGAATTTCATCCCACCCCACCAAGAGCCCAGGGAAGGCGAGGTGCACGCTTCCAACAAACCCACACGACTATGAAGGTTATTTTCGGACATGATTTTCCAAGCAAACTGTCTCGAGAGGCTCTGGCAGTGGTCCTGGTTCATCTCGGTTATCGCAGACCACAGGGCTGGATCGGGCACCAGGAGTGAGACCCAAATCCTTTGGTGGGTCACGCCGTTCTCCAACGGGATGCTCTAAAAACCGAGCATCTGTGCAAACCCACCGCTGGTAACGCAGAGAGTCGGAATTTCATCCCGGAGAGCTCCCCTTTTAGGGCTAAACTCAAAAAGGTGGCTGTGATTCAACTGCTGTCTCCTACGAAGGGAAGAACAGCGAAGCCACCGTGTTGCCTTAATGCAGGGAACATCATTTGGCACGGGGACATGGGGATCTCCAGAGCTTTAACAACCCGGGGAGCTAATGGGTCCCATCAGCGGTTCATCTCCAGCTGCTGACGTGGAATGAAGCTGCTGAGGGACTGGCTGACACGGGGCAAACCATTTCCCCCACCCTGACGTGACTCAGGACAGAGTTTGGCCAAGGGATTCTGAACAGCAAAGGGCTTTGTCGTAATTTGGGGCCAAATACACGCCACAGATCCTTTCCTGCAGGAACAGGTGCTTCTGGAAGCCACGGATTCGAATCAAAGAAAAGGTTAATAGTGAAAAAAACAAAGCAGTTCAATAAGAAAGAACAGGTAAAAGGTGTGAGCAAACACAAGCAAGCTTAAAACCAAAAGGCATCTCAAAGGGCTAGTCAGCCCCGTGACACAGGTCCACACTGGTAAGTCCTGGCCCGGGAGGTGCTGAGGGCCCAGGACACCCCAGGATGGGGGGTCTCCTGGCTCCAGCTCCTTTGTATAACCCCTCATTGACGTGGTTTTGGTGGCAGTGGGGTGTCAACAGCCCAACCACCCCCAGGGTCAGGCCTCTGAGATTGTGCCGTCTGTACAGTATTTCCGAACCCCCTTAGAAGAGGCAACTGGAAGACAGTAAACACCAAATTGCTCATTTTTTCCCATTCCTGGAAAAAAAAATAATTTAAAAACATATTCCCTCTACCCTCTAGGGCAGGTTTGGACCGAGGATAACCATCATCCACCAGCAGACAGTTGAGTTGCTCAGGCTTTGTGCAGAAGTGACAGAAGCTTTTGTGGCGCCTGGAAGAAGCGACGCGCCCATTTCTGGGCTCTGTCCCCACATGTGGCTGCAGGTGAGCCCCCTTCGGCGTGTCCTCCTCTTCTCTGCCACCTCCCCGGGTGAGGCGTGAACCAAAATCTAACCAGTATTCATAAAAATGGGAAGAGAAACGTAGAGGAGAACCCACTCTTTGGGTGCGTGCAGATATTCTTGGCCTCTGGTTGGGTTGGTTGGTTGCCCATTGAGTGGGCGAGAGCTCAACCGCACTGCGCCGTGGGGCATCCCCACCTATCCCTGGTGGCAAGTGGCCAGGCTCTCTGCCTTCCTGCCTCCTCCCTCCATCGCGGGGAGAACGTTCATCTTCCACAACAAGTTGCCCATGGGCCAGCAATGTGCCCTTGTGGCCAAGAAGGCCAATGGTCTCCTGGGGTGCATCAAGAAGAGCATGGCCAGCAGGTGGAGGGAGGTCATCCTGCCCCTCTGCTCTGACCTGGGGAGGCCCCAGCTGGAACACTGGGTCCACTTCTGGGCTCCCCAGTTCAAGAAGGACAGGGAACTGCTGGAGAGGGGACAGCAGAGGGCTACAAAGATGATGAGGGGAGTAAAACATCTCTCTGGTGAGGAAAGGCTGAGGGACTTGGGTCTGTTCAGTCTGGAGAAGAGCAGACTGAGGGGGGATGTGATCAATGCCTATAAATACTTCGAAGGTGGGTGTCAGGAGGATGGGGCCAGTCTTTTTTCAGTGGTGCCCAGTGACAGGACAAGAGGAAATGGGCACAAACTTGAACATAGGGAGTTCCATCTCAACATGAGGAGGAACTTCTTTGCTGTGAGGGTCTTTTTTGTGTGAAGAGTCCAGCAGAGGCTATGAAGATGATGAGGGGCCTGGAGCATCTCTGTGCTGAGGAAAGGCTGAGAGCCCTGGGGCTGTTCAGCTGGAGAAGAGCAGACTGAGAGAGGATCTCATTGATGCTGAGCAAAGGTGATCTCAGAGGTCCCTTCCAACCATGGTGATTTGGTGATTCTGTAGTATCTAAAGGGTTGGTTACAAGAGGATGGGGCCAGACTCCTCTCAGTGGTGCTCAGTGACAGGACAAGGGGCAACGGGCACAAACTGGGACATGGGAAATTCCATCTGAACATGAGAAAAAACTTCTTTGCTGTGAGGGTGGCAGAGCCCTGGCAGAGGCTGCCCAGAGAGGTGGTGGAGTCTCCTTCTCTGGAGACATTCAAACCCCACCTGGACACGTTCCTGTGGGACCTGCTGTGGGTGACCCTGCTCTGGCAGGGGGTTGGACTGGATGATCTCCAGAGGCCCCTTTCAACCCCTACAATCCTACAATTCTGTGAGTCCACAGGGTGTGTGTATGGATGCACGCTGGCAGCCGATATGGGTGCGGGCAAGGAGCTTCTCCCTTCAGTTGCCACTCATTTCCCACCAGGCGATGCAGAGAGACTTCTCTTACTGGATGGCCGTGCCAGGGAAGAGGGGGCAACCCAAGAGGAGGGATTGCAAACACACACACGAATACTAAGCAGGAAAATGCAATACCCCATAGCGTTCCCTGCAGGCTCTTGTATTAATTCCCTGGTGAAGATCTGGAGCTGCGGCAGGAAAATCTGTCGACGTTCTTCCCACTTAAGAGACTCTTGCAACATGGAGAAGGTGTGTGGAGATGTGACCATTTACAAGCGACAGCGTCCCTTGCATTCAAACCACAGCCACACAAAAGAGCTCAGCCTGAACCAGAGATATCCTGTAGCTCTAATTAACAATAGAACGAGAGGGAATGGCTTCAAGCTCCAACAGGGGAGGTTTAGATTGAACATTAGGAAGGAATTTTTCACCGAAAGAGTGGTCGGGCATTGGAACAGGCTGCCCAGGGAGGGGGTGGAGTCACCATCCCTGGATGTGTTTAAGGGCCGTTTAGATGCAGTGCTGAGGGACATGGTGTAGGGGAGGACTTTGTAGAGTAGGGGAGATGGTTGGACTCGATGATCCCAAGGGTCTCTTCCAACCTTAATGATTCTATGATTCTTTATGGTTTTGCTACGTTTAAAGGCACTGGGGAGGTGGGACTGTGTTCAGAAAACCAGCACAGCCTCAGAGAACGATCGGGATCTTCCAGCACGCAACGATAAGGCCAGGTAGACCTGAAAGGCATGAGGAAATCCTCTGTTCCAAACACAACCGCCTTCTTAACGCCGGAGGTTTCGCAGGGTTTATCTGCAAGCCCCAGAGGTAAGTCTCCAGTAGAAACCACCACCAGCCACTCTCCCTTCAGTTGCCACTCATTTCCCACCAAGCGTTGTAGAGAGACTTCTCTTTCTAGATGGCCGTGCCAGGGAAGAGGGGGCAACCCAAGAGGAGGGATTGCAAACACACACACGAATACTAAGCAGGAAAATGCAATACCCCATAGCGTTCCCTGCAGGCTCTTGTATTAATTCCCTGGTGAAGATCTGGAGCTGCGGCAGGAAAATCTGTCGACGTTCTTCCCACTTAAGAGACTCTTGCAACATGGAGAAGGTGTGTGGAGATGTGACCATTTACAAGCGGCAGCGTCCCTTGCATTCAAACCACAGCCAAACAGAAGAGCTCAGCCTGAACCAGAGATATCCTGTAGCTCTAATTAACAATAGAACGAGAGGGAATGGCTTCAAGCTCCAACAGGGGAGGTTTAGATTGAACATTAGGAAGGAATTTTTCACCGAAAGAGTGGTCGGGCATTGGAACAGGCTGCCCAGGGAGGGGGTGGAGTCACCATCCCTGGATGTGTTTAAGGGCCGTTTAGATGCAGTGCTGAGGGACATGGTGTAGGGGAGGACTTTGTAGAGTAGGGGAGATGGTTGGACTCGATGATCCCAAGGGTCTCTTCCAACCTTAATGATTCTATGATTCTTTATGGTTTTGCTACGTTTAAAGGCAGTGGGGAGGTGGGACTCTGTTCAGAAAACCAGCACACCCTCAGAGAACGATCGGGATCTTCCAGCACGCAACGATAAGGCCAGGTAGACCTGAAAGGCATGAGGAAATCCTCTGTTCCAAACACAACCGCCTTCTTAACGCCGGAGGTTTCGCAGGGTTTATCTGCAAGCCCCAGAGGTAAGTCTCCAGTAGAAACCACCACCAGCCACGTGGCCACGTGCCCAGCGAGCCCCTCCCGGCAGGGGGAAGATGCTGCAGAGCATGATCTCCTGGGATAAGATCCAAAAAGCAGCAGAGGGGAGACGGTGCCCCCACACAGCAAGATTTGAACACCGAGAGCGTGGGTAACCCGGGAGCTCCGGGCTGGTATTAAAGAAGAAGTTGAACTGATTGCAAAGCTCCTTGAGCTGAGTATTTTCTTGCCGGGAGCCTTCTGGACTGGGTTGGAGGCCCACACTCAAAGAGAAGCTCAAAATGAACACCGAGGCTGGTTTTTATCCGCTCTAAAACTCCCTGAAAGGAGGGTGTAGAGAGGCAGGGGTAGATCTCTTCTCCCAAGTCACAGGTGATAGGACAAGAGGAAATGGCCTCAAGTTGTGGCAGGGGAGGTTCAGGTTGGATATTACGAAAAATTTCTTCACTGAAAGGGTTATCAAACATTGGAATGGGCTGCCCAGGGAAGTGGTTGAGGCCCCATCCCTGGAGATAGTCAAAATATGAGTTGACATGGTGCTTGGGAATATGCTTTAATGTTGGTTTGGTGTGGTTCTGTTTTTTTTCAGAGTTGGGTTGATGGTTGGACTAGATGATCTTAAAGGTCCCTTCCAACCTAGGCAATTCTGTGCTTCCTACGCTGCAGCAGGGGCACAGACAGCCCCACTTGGCATTTCTGCACAGGGCAATCACAGGACAAGGGTGGACAAGTGACAGGTCCCTTCCACCACAGGGCATCCCAGAGCATCAAGTATTGGTTTCCTGAAGTAACGAGTTCGTCGCGCTTTACAGCAACTAATTCTTACTGCAGGTTTAGTTAATGCCTTCCAAATTGCTGCTACAAGAGGGAAAAAGAAAGTAGGAAGAAAGAAAGTCAGGCCTGACCTGCAGCAAAGCGCTGGCCTGGGGGATGTGACAGTTCTTCCCTGTCCCCTTCTCTCTGCAGCCAGAATTGGCCAAACTCTAACGAAGGGCTTTGGGAAGCCAGTGGAAAAGAGGCAGAGGGTAAAAGAAAAAGTTATGACAAGTTTGTACTGCTGCAGAAAGTCACAAACGTGTATCATCCCCAAGGAAAAAAAAGTATGTTCTTGTCTTCAACACCATCGTGTGGCTGGCAGGGACCAGTCTGGGTGGAAGAACATGTCCCCACTGTTCTCTCTCATCACAGGGACTTCAGGGGATGATCATTCCAGCTTTGACATTTATTTTTTCCTTAGTAAGCATTGATGGGTTTCCTACTGTCACAGCAGCTCCTCAGCTCACCCTACAGGGGCTGGAAAAATCACTATTTGCCTGGTTTCAGACCCTAATGCGAGGACTGTAGGAAATGCTACAACCTGCTTCCTGCTCCATGTATCCCTTAGGCTTATCCCTTAGAGAGGGAAGGCTGCCACAGCTCGGCCGAATCCAACCCAGCATCATATCAAAGCCGAAAATACAAGCACAGGAAAGAAAAATGTCATCCCACAGGACCGGGGGTAAAGCTGCACCGTGGTTTTCTCTGCCAGAAGGTTCTGTGAGGAGCCACATCCCTCACAGGAGTGGGAACATGATGCTGCCCTGGCTGCATGGGAAACTGCTCTTCCATTAGTGCCTCTGGATGGAAGGGTTCAGGAAAACAAAGATGATTCAAGGATTGGAGCATCTCCCTTATGAGGAGAGACTGAGAGAGCTGGGACTCTTTAGTCTGGAGAAGAGAAGGCTGAGGGGAGACCTTATCAATGCCTACAAGTATCTCAAGGGAGGGTTGAAGGAGGAGGGAGCCAGACTCTTTTCAGTGGTTCCCAGTGAGAGGACGAGGGGCAACAGGCACAAGTTGGAACAGAAGAGGTTCCACTCAAATATGAGGAGAAACTTCTTCACGGTGAGGGTGACAGAGCCCTGGAACAGGCTGCCCAGGGAGGGTGTGGAGTCCCCTTCCTTGGAGATTTTCAAGACCCACCTGGATGCTCCTGAGTAACATGCTCTAGCTCTAGGCAATCCTGCTTCAGCAGGGGAGTTGGACTAGATGATCTCTATGGTCCCTTCCAACTCTAAAATTCAGTGAAATTCAGTGAAAAGGAATCTCCTCTTCCACTTCCCGAGCCGAATTATCCCGCTGTACCCAAATTTTGCCAGGAATGGCTTCTTGCAGGGTGGCTGCTGGTGCAAACCCAAAGGAAAAAATTGCCCCAGGCAAAGGGAAGACACCGAGCGAGTGACACCAGTTAAAAGCAGGCGGCACGGCGCCGAGCCTTACCTGGGAGAGAGGAAGGAGGAGCTGCTAAAGCTGCTTTCCCCATTACACAAGCCGTCCGCGAACAAATCCGCTTCGTTCCCTTCCCCGTAATCCTCAAAGTGCTCCTCTCCGCTTATGACCGTCACGATGGAGTGGCCCAGGTCCGAGCCCAGGGGCAGGTCGTGGGGATGAGACCTGTGGGAGCCCAGAGGGAGACGTTAGAGGGTGGCCACCGGGGTGGCCTTCACACGATACACCCCTTCTCCAAGCCATATCTGGCCCAGGTCCGAGCCCAGGGGCAGGTCGTGGGGATGAGACCTGTGGGAGCCCAGAGGGAGACGTTAGAGGGTGGCCACCGGGGTGGCCTTCACACGATACACCCCTTCTCCAAGCCATATCCCTCATTTTGGCTAACTTTTCACAGAATCTTCTAGGTTGGAAGGGACCTTAAAGATCATCTTGTCCAACCGTCAACCTCACTGACAAAAATAGACACCCACACAACAAACAAGGAGCATCATCACTAAACCAGACCTCCCAGCACTACATCAACCCGGCTTTTGAACACCTCCAAGGATGGTGCCTCGACCACCTCCCTGGGCAGCCCATTCCAGGGAGTTGGAGAGAGCAATAAGGTCTCCCCTCAGCCTCCTCTTCTCCAGGCTGAACACCCCCAGCTCCCTCAGCCTCTCCTCATGAGACTTATTCTCCAGACCCCTCACCATCTTTGTTGCTCTTCTCTGGACCCGCTCCAGCACCTCAATGTCTTTTTTATGGTAGGGGGCCTTACAGCACAATCCACCCTGTGCCTTGGACACCAAAAAGGCACCACCAGGAACTGTGCAGCAATTTTTTTTGTCCACAATAAACCAATATGTTTGTTGGGTTTTTTTCCCCCTGGCAGCTTCAATGTAGGATTTGGGGGTGGGACTTGCAGGACAGGTCCCAGGGTTGGTGACAAGCCCTCGCACGGCACCGGTGCAGCCAAAAACATGGCAGAAAAAAGCTTGGCGTGTCCCAAACACGCCCTAAATTTCAATGTAGGATTTGGGGGTGGGACTTGCAGGACAGGTCCGCCACCGGGTGACAAGCCCTCGCACGGCACCGGTGCAGCCAAAAACATGGCAGAAAAAAGCTTGGCGTGTCCCAAACACGCCCTAAATATGTTTTGAATCACATCGCCAGCCTACACGCCGGGCTCACGCTCCCTTATTGCTGTATAATCCTATCAAGAGCCCAGCAGAGGGGGTTTAATGCTGTAACCCCCCCGCGACACAAATCCCAGGGAGAAGAAGGAGCCCTTTCCCTGCTCCTGCCAGGAAAACACTGTACAGCAATCCTGGGGAGGGGGAATGCTGTTTCGTGGCTATTTAACACCCAATCCAGAAGGCTGTGGTGTGTTAAGCATCACCCTAAACCCTGAAAATGTCCCTTGCTTCGGAGGGGACACAGCTCAACACAGAAGTCACAGGTTATGGAAGCATCTTTTCACAGTGTTGTACGAAGCACCACGGCACGAGGTGCCCACTCTGAGGACTTTCCTGCCCAGGACTGCAGAGGTTTTAAAATTAAGCCTGGAGGGGGGGGAAAGCAGGGGGGAGATTATAAGAACCAGGCTGGGGAAAAAAGCAGGGGGGGGATTTGTAGGAAGCAGGCTGTGAAAGCAGCCCACGTGGCCACAAGCCACAGGTATGTGTTTTAGGGGGACTAGCACCACTCTCCTCTCCAAAATCCAGCGCTAAAAAGAAAAAGATTGCATTATATTACCTTCATCCACTTGCTGGGAGAAGGAAAATAAGGGTATGGCTCCATTGCTGTACTAAATCAGCAAGAAAAAAAGATTACAGATAAGCCTTTTATGACAAAAACCTGCACCATCTGAAGGATTTGCCCTTATCCTGTTAATAAAAAACATGTCAAGCCTCCAGCCGACACAGCAGCACATCTCCCTGTGTCCAGCCCAGCCTGTGGGCATCTGCACATCTCCCTTGTGCCCTCCAGAAGCCCCGTTCTCCCCGCAGCAGGATCTGTCGGATCCATCCTCCCCGGTGCTGAGTCAGACCCAGCAGACCGTGGCCGAAAGCTTGGGAAATCTCTCCAGGAATAGAAGGCAGGGGGGCGGAATTTTGAGATTTGCAAGCAAAACCCAGCCCCGATTCTCTAAATTCAGGGCTGTGGTTCGCCAGGCACCGTACAGAAGCCGAGCTGATGGAGCACCTGGAAACCCTCAGCCAGGGATGCTCTGGGCAATAAATAATACCAAAATTTTATATATGCTTGCTGGGGGCTCTAACAGTTTCAAGATCCAGAGTCCAACTGATCTTTACGACACGCAGCCTAAATAACTTCTTAATCTCCAACCATCTAAGGTATGTTGAGCTTTAGCAGCTACTGAAAAGCAGCGTTGAAGCTTTGGTTCAGTCCACCAGCTGCACTGACCACATTGTGCTCACTGACTGTCCCCTGGGAGAGCTCTGGGCACTAGAGGCGTAAAAATGTTGTCAAAAAATCATGGAAGAGTTGGAAGGGGCCTTAGAGCCCACCCAGTGCCACCCCCTGCCCTGGGCAGGGACACCTCCCACCACACCACGTTGCTCCAAGCCCCCTCCAACCTGCCCTTCAACCCCTCCAGGGATGGGGCAGCCACAGCTTCTCGGGCCAACCTGGGCCAGGCTCTCACCACCCTCACACCAAACAAGTTCTTCCCCACAGCTCAGCTCCATCTCCCCTCTTGCAGGGTCCAACCCTTCCCCCTCCTCCTAGGGCTCCCCTCCCTCATCCAGAGTCCCTCCCCAGCTTTCCTACCTGGGGTCTGACAGAACCAAAACCAGCCCTCAACAACTTGGGAATATATTTCCTGATGCTTCCATCTCAAGTCTTCCAAGTCTTTAGGCCAAATGAACTTTTTCCTTGATTTTTTTTTTTGGCTACCTGGAATTTGCAGGCATTTAACACACCGCTGCACTCGGACAGAGCACCCAAAGGACACCCACCCTTCCCAGCCCCACACTGGGACCAGCAGGGAAGCCTCAAGAACAACCGAATCTTGAAAAAAAAAACAATTCCCAAGCAAAGCATTTTGTACCTACAGGCAGGTGAATCCCAGGCACGGCACGTTCCCCAGGGGCCGGGAGCGCACACAGGCTGCCATGGCCCCTCCAGGACCCTCCACAGGGAGCTCAGCGACTGGTTATATCCCGATTTAACTGTCACTGAGCTGAAGGTGCTGGGGCCAGGAGAGCCGAGCCTGCTAATCCCATTTCTTCCCTAATCCCCAACACCCTTTCAGCCCCGGTACCAAGCACCCAGCAGAACTGACCGCTCACCAATGTCTCCAGATGTCATTTGGGGCTGGGAAGGAATCACAGAATTTTAGTGGTTCAAAAAAAAAAACAACAACAAAAAAACCCCACACCACACCAAACGCCCACCAAAAACACCGCACCCACCAACTAAACCCCACACTCAACACCTCACCATAAACCAATAACCTTGGGCACTAGAGCATGCCCTGAAGAGCCATGTCTACACGTTTCTTAAATCCCTCCAGGGATGGTGACTCCACCACCTCCCTGGGCAGGCTGTTCCAGGGCCTGACCACTCTCTCAGGAAAGTAATTCTTTCTAATATCTAATCTAAATCTCCCCTGCCCCAACTTCAGACCATTTCCTCTGGTCTTGTCGTCCGTCCTTTGGGAGAAGAGGCCAACACCTGCCTCTCTACACCCTCCTTTCAGGGAGCTGTAGAGGGCAATGAGGTCTCCCCTCAGCCTCCTCTTCTCCAAACTCAACATGCCCAGTTCCCTCAGCCTCTCCTCATAGGACTTGTTCTCCAGACCCCTCACCAGCTTGGTGGCTCTCCTCTGGACACGCTCCAGCAGCTCAATGTCCTTCCTGTAGTGAGGGGCCCAGAACTGAACACAGCACTCGAGGTGAGGCCTCACCAGTGCCCAGTACAGAGGCACCATCACTGCCCTACTCCTGCTGGCCACGCTATTCTTGATACGAGCCAGGATGCCATTGACCCTCTTGGAAACCTGGTGCTGTCTGAAAGCAATAGGAACTCCAAGTTCTCACCAGAGCACCAACCTTGGGTGATTTATTTTTGCCCCCCAAAATTCTGTTTTTGACCAGACCTTAAGCAATGATGGCTCCAGATGTCCCAGCCCAGACCTTGGGTCACTATTAAAGGAGTTATTCCCTCCAGCATCCCAGTTCCACCCTCCAAAAAAACCCATTTTTCCTGCAAACTCTAGGAAACGAGGCGGACCCAGGAGCGGTTTCGCCAGCAGCGGTTCAGAGCTGGGGAAGATGATCTCAGCTCACTCTTCTGTGCTTCAGGCACCAGTTGAAAACTAGTTATTACAGGAGGTGGTTGCACATCAAAGGGCGCGCGCGTGTTTAGGAAAAACAAGAATACGACGAGTTCCCCTCCTGACTTGAAAATTATACGTTGCGTTTCTGGCTTAAGTGATAGATTAAAAACTGCAAGTATTTCAGGTGTTTGGATCATCTGAGAACTTACTTTAGAGGCTAAAGATGTTAATGAGGGTACAGAAGTTCTCCCAAGGCAAGCAATGATTAACTCAAAGAGATTGCCAGGCCGAGCTCCAAAACAGCCTACACATGGTGCAGCCTAATTATTATGATTATTCTTGAAGAAGAGCTATTTTGGTCTTGCATGAAGTTACAAAGGCAAAGAAGAAACCAACCAGTTCCAGCAAGACAGACTCAGCCCACTTTATTTTAAATCCTGGGGCTGCATCTTCCCCGGGTCCTCGCCTGCTCCCGGTTTGTTGGAGTTTCCTGCAAAAAAAACACCCCGGAGAGGTTTTGCTCCTTGGGAGTTCCCACTCACCCGTGCTCCGGCTCCTCGATGGGGTCGGTGAATTCCGAGTGCACGGTGGAGTCGATGGCACTGTCCGTTTCTACCTCGTCGTGCATCTCGTGGTGCACGAGGGTGCTGGTGTCTTCGTCCGTGAAGGTCTCGCACTCGCTGTAGGTGCTCTCGGAGCCCATGTAAGCACTGTCAGTCACCTCATTTGCCTGGGGGGGGGGAAAAATAACAACAAATACAAGAGAGGGGGGAAAAAAAAAAATAAGAGATTATAGCACAGAAGGACAAAACACTAATTACTAATTTCTAAGGAGGGAAATCCAAGCTCCCGAAACCAGCCTGAGCTTTACTCCACCCTCCAGGTGCTGCTCTGTCTCCAGGTCCCAGGACCGAGCGCTGCCCCCGGGGCCCCGCGGGCTTCACAACAGCAGTGTTTGGAAAACAGCTCACAGAAATATATACTAAATAAAAGGCGGAGGGAGGGTCTGTTGCGAGTATGGATTTGTCAGGTCCAGGAGGGATTACCCGCTGCTTACTCAGCGGTTCCGACCAGCGGCGTTTTCACCCGCTCCATTTTAAGAGGGCACGTTATTCATCTCAATTCTCTGAAAAAAAACCCAACCAAGCAGCATTCCAAACTACCCGTTAGCCCTTAGAGCACTTTTTCCCTTGCCCTTAGTAATAGGAGAGCGCCTTCCATCCCTCAACAGAAAACAAGCTGCCTCCCTAATCATAGAATCATAGAATCATAGAATCATTGAGGTTGGAAGAGACCCTTGGGATCATCGAGTCCAACCATCTACCCTACTCTACAAAGTCCTCCCCTACACCATGTCCCTTAGTACTGCATCTACAGCATCTAATTTGCAAGGACAGCATCAGCAGGACACCCCAACCACCCCATCTCTGCTGGAAAAAGCATCTTGAATATTTCACGTTCCTTCCCCACCTCCGTTACCCACAGCAGGGGCTGGGAAAGAGGCACGATTTGGTTTTTAAGACTGGGTTTTCCTCCCAGTTCTCCCCCTCAGGCAGTTATCTTCGGTCCTGCTCGTACACGAGGGTAGGGATGGTCCTAGAACCGTCCCCGTGTTTGGAGGAGAGCGGTGGGAGCGCTACAAGAAACACCCTCCTAAAGCAAAAATCCTCTTTACCCATCAACGTGCCAGCTCATTTCCCAGCATTTATGGGATTTTCCTGCATTTATGGGATTTCCCAGCATTTATGGGATTTCCCTGCCTCAAGAACAAATCAAGTCACGTTTGGCTCCGGGATCTCCATCGCAGTGGGATCTGTCGGTGCTGGCGCTGAGCTCCAGCTGATCCCCTGTCACCGGAGATGTCAGATGGAGGGATGGGAGCCCTCCTGCCTGGCCTCCAGAGAAAAAGATGCTCATGAAAAGCCGTTTGCTCCATCTGAAGTTCACCCAAGGGGATCAAACTTGCTCCAGCAGGGCAAAGGAGCAGCATTTGGAACGCAGGCACCAAGGGTGAAGAAACCTCTCTTCCTCTGCCAGGGAGCACACAGAGCAGCTCAGTGCCTTCTCCAAGGATTTTGGAGACAAACGAGATTTCTCAAAGCTCTGTATTACTTCCTCTGCCAGGGAGCACACAGAGCAGCTCTCAGTGCCTTCTCCAAAGATTTTGGAGAAAAACAAGATTAAAGCAGCTGGAAAGAAAACACAGACACACTGCCCTTGGGACAGCAGAATGGACAATTACACCAGAGCTGGTCATTCGGGGCAGGGTATGGACAAGGCAGGAAGAGTCCTGCTCGTTGCTGCAGACGTTGGCTCCCACAGAAGAGCAGCTTTTAGGACACGTGCTGTATTGGTACGGCAGGAGAGCACCAGATGGAGAGAGACAGAAGTCCCACTGACATCGTGTCACCTAGACTTCCCAAAGGCTGCTCTTGCCAGCCTGATCCTCCTCTTTCAGGTCGATACTCCATACCTCAAAGAACTTCTGCAGCTTTCACGGGTCCAAAGCAGCTTGAGACCCAACCAACGCTTCATTTTGTATCACCCCAAAAATTCCCAAGCTGCCTCAACACACACGAGGCCAAAAAAGCAAGAACTTGAAGGGGTGGATGGAGAACTGCTCAGCAGCAGTTCCTGTTCCACCTGGGCACTGGGGAGCAAAGCGACCAAGTGAAGCCCCTTGTTTTGCTCCCCGAGTCGAGTGCCCACTCCACCATCACGGCTGGTGATGGATGGAGACAGACAGATAGGAGCCCCTCTTGTAAGCTTGGTTCAGCTTTCACGGACTTATGGACACCAGCATCTCTCTAGGACACCACCCTGAAGTTAATCATGACACAAACCTTCACAGAACCAGAGTCTAAAGTCACCACCAGGAGAATTCATAGAATCATAGAATTGTCTTTCAGATCATCGAGTCCAACCATCAGCCCAACACTGACAAAACCCACCACTGACCCATGTCCCTCAGCACCACATCTGCCTGGCTTTTAAATACCCCCAGGGATGGTGACTCCACTGTTGCCCTGGGAAGGTTCTTCCAACGTTTGACAACCCTTTGGGTGAAGACGGGGCTGTTCAAGTGAACTAGGTTCAAACAGAGGAGAGGCTGCCGCAGCCGCCATCTTCCCCAGCACAGGAGAAGGTGGCTTTCACTACCCTCCGAGATCAAAACAAAAGCCTCCTAAAACCCCCACCCACTTTAAAAAGCATAAATCCAGCAGGACTACTTAGATACCTAAAGCTGGGGACTTGCTTAAGTGCTTTACTGGATTTATGTTGCACTTCCTAGAAACACCGCTCAGGTTCTTAATGCTGGAGCAGGAGGAGGAGATTTGGCAGCGGGGGCTTGTTCTGCCAGCTCCATCATGGACATGAGAGGACATTGCCGTGGCCCTGAGCCGAGCCCGGTGTCCCCAGTCTCCCCCATGTGTTGCTCTGGGGGAGAAAACCCCCATCTTCAGCCCACACTGCACGTCCCCAGTGCTCCCAGCAGCGATGGCGCTTGGTGCTGGCCTGGCCTGGCTCTCCAGGGTGGGATAAATACCAAAAAACCCCTAACCCTTCCCACTGGCAAAGCTTAAATTGAAGTATACATTGAAGTATTATAATGAGCACAAAGTAAAGACAACTACTGCAAAGAAATAATAAAAAAACCCTCTAAAAGATTCCAACCCACAAGTAAATCAATGTAAAATCCATCCCGTTGTGGTCACCATTGCTGAGCCTCTCAACACGAAGCATAACCAGGAGCTGAGCAGCTCAGGGCAGAACATCTCAGTGCCCTTCTTCAGCAGGATTTATTTATCAAATTGTCATAAAACACCTTGTTGATGGGAAATACCCGTAACAGAGAGGCTGCAAGAGGGAGCAACCCTCGAGAGCAGCACCTTAACCACCCTCCTTCAGCCACGCTGAGGATGTGCAGTGATTTATTATTTTTTTTAAAAAGATGATCTGTAACACAATTTGCAAACTTTCTACGCATTTAGCAAATAAGATTATTTTTTGTTTTCCTCCTGTAATACCAGGCTAGATAGGGTTTCAAAAGCAAGAGCCCTATTAAAATTAAACCTAGTTGGTCAATGAGTTAAAAGGCAGCTGAAACTGTAAACAAAGTCCTTGTGAGCACGAGCGTGGAGAACTTTGCTTTACATTTCATCACAGATTAAGTAAGTAAACCTCAAGAACAGACCCGAGGAGGAGATGGACAAAACAAGGGGACGTAGGTAAGGTATTACCAAATGTCTGCTGAAGCAAAGCAAACCCAAACCCCTGTGCCCTGGGCAAAGGTGCAGCCGTGGGGCACAGAAAGCTGGTTTTTCTGGCCTCACGAGCAGCTGCTTTGGGCACTGACCCTTTAAAATCTCCTGACACATCGCTCGTCTTGCCAGCTTTGCCTTTCTGTGAGCAGGCAGAAAGCCACTGACATCGTGTCACCTAGACTTCCCAAAGGCTGCTCTTGCCAGCCTGATCCTCCTCTTTCAGGTCGATACTCCATACCTCAAAGAACTTCTGCAGCTTTCACGGGTCCAAAGCAGCTTGAGACCCAACCAACGCTTCATTTTGTATCACCCCAAAAATTCCCAAGCTGCCTCAACACACACGAGGCCAAAAAAGCAAGAACTTGAAGGGGTGGATGGAGAACTGCTCAGCAGCAGCTCCTGTTCCACCTGGGCACTGGGGAGCAAAGCGACCAAGTGAAGCCCCTTGTTTTGCTCCCCGAGTCGAGTGCCCACTCCACCATCACGGCTGGTGATGGATGGAGACAGACAGATAGGAGCCCCTCTTGTAAGCTTGGTTCAGCTTTCACGGACTTATGGACACCAGCATCTCTCTAGGACACCACCCTGAAGTTAATCATGACACAAACCTTCACAGAACCAGAGTCTAAAGTCACCACCAGGAGAATTCATAGAATCATAGAATTGTCTTTCAGATCATCGAGTCCAACCATCAGCCCAACACTGACAAAACCCACCACTGACCCATGTCCCTCAGCACCACATCTGCCTGGCTTTTAAATACCCCCAGGGATGGTGACTCCACTGTTGCCCTGGGAAGGTTCTTCCAACGTTTGACAACCCTTTGGGTGAAGACGGGGCTGTTCAAGTGAACTAGGTTCAAACAGAGGAGAGGCTGCCGCAGCCGCCATCTTCCCCAGCACAGGAGAAGGTGGCTTTCACTACCCTCCGAGATCAAAACAAAAGCCTCCTAAAACCCCCACCCACTTTAAAAAGCATAAATCCAGCAGGACTACTTAGATACCTAAAGCTGGGGACTTGCTTAAGTGCTTTACTGGATTTATGTTGCACTTCCTAGAAACACCGCTCAGGTTCTTAATGCTGGAGCAGGAGGAGGAGATTTGGCAGCGGGGGCTTGTTCTGCCAGCTCCATCATGGACATGAGAGGACATTGCCATGGCCCTGAGCCGAGCCTGGTGTCCCCAGTCTCCCCAATGTGTTGCTCTCGGGGAGAAAACCCCCATCTTCAGCCCACACCGCACGTCCCCAGTGCTCCCAGCAGCGATGGCACTTGGTGCTGGCCTGGCCTGGCTCTCCGGGGTGGGATAAATACAAAAAAACCCCAACCCTTCCCACTGGCAAAGCTTAAATTGAAGTATACATTGAATTATTACAATGAGCACAAAGTAAAGATAACTACTGCAAAGAAACAATAAAAAAAAAAACTCTAAAAGATTCCAACCCACAAGTAAATCAATGTAAAATC